TATGACAGGCAGGGGCGGATCTAGACAAATATTCATGGGGTGGCAAGAGGGTGGCAGGAGATTTTGAGGGGTGGCATCCCCTGGCAGAAGTATATGCTGATTTAAATCGCAGTGTAACGGTACACGTACTGAAATTATTCGGTACGGGCCCTTCGGTTCGGTACACGTGTGAACCGAAGGGTACCGAACGAATATAACGTTAAATGTAAAAAATTGAGAACATGAACAACTTTCTGGAAGTAATCTTAGGTATATATCATAGAGCGACCAAGTAATTTCATTGGACGAGAGGCATACTATGAGAGCTGGTCACAGGGATGCGTTCAAATGTAGTCAGTAATTTGAGGAACTATCGAAATGGTGAACGCAGATAAAGTTGAGCTCGAAAATCCTCCAGCAACATTGAAGTCTCCGGTTTGGGAACATTTTGGTTTCGCAGTTACGAACAAGGATGACGGACAAAGACAGCTGGACCGAACCAAAGCTGTTTGTCGGCATTGTTCAACTAACATTGGTTACGCGGCTGGCAATACATCAAACTTGCACACTCATTTGAAAAGGCATGAACGTGAATATCACCGGTACCAAAAGAAAAAAGACTGAAGTGCAAACCCAACTCCCGCTAGCATGTAAGCCTCCACCACTCGCAGAGAGTTCAGACCGAACCAAAGCTATTACAAACGCCAAATAGCCTTATGTTGCCATGTTAGCAAAGCGCTACCTGGCTGTGTCTGCTACCTCTGTCCCTAGAGAGGGTGTTCTCCACAGCAGGAGACATTGTTAGTGCCAGCAGATCTGCCCTTTCGGCAAGCAATGTGGACAAGTTCATCTTTCTTTAAACAACATGAAAATACAATGAAAAGCAAGTCCTAATGTCAACCTGGCTGCTTAGGTACAGTACAGTTCAAATACAGATCATTTCAGTTCATTGACATGCTGCACCTTAATGTTTATTTTATTATATTTTGTATTTATTTGAGTGAATATTCACAGTTTAATAATAATTTAAAAAAATGTAAAAAAAAATTAATGTTGTGATATTTTTTTCTGCTGTACCGAAAACGTACCGAACCAAACCGTGACCTAAAAACCGAGGTACGAACCGAACCGAAATGTTTGTGAACCGTTACACCCCTACAATCAATGTTAACTTGGAAAGCCACAATATTAATATTTTAACTCAATGACATTAGGTGATATTATTGTGGCACATCAGTAAAGCCTTACATATACATATGTAAGGTGGCAGACGTAATTTAATGAATTTTAACTGAACAATAACTGAATGAGTTTGTTTCACTCTTAGACCAGCAGGGGAACCAAATCTATGCACTGCTGCAATAAGTACATTCATTAACTGTCTCATCGATGTTTGTCTGAATGAATATGATACTATTAACAATCATATTATTCCTATCAGCTGTCAATCACTGTTAATAAATAATAATAATAATAATAGATTTAATTTGTTAGCGTTTTTACAGGTGCTCAAAGACGCTTTACAGATATAGTGAAGAACTGTTATGATTCACATATTCATTTATTATTGAATAAACTATATATTTTTTGGAGGAGTCAATGATGAATGTTCATCAAGATGCTTGCTCACCCTCCTTCAAATTTGAAAAACAAGTAATTATATCATTATTGATATACAGTTACAACCTTGACTTTACATCAGAAAGAACAAACATTAAAGAAGTGACTAACTGCATCAGTTAGGGTTAAAAAAACGTGTATTCAGCTAAAACATACCTACTGGCCTAGTTAAATCAAAGTGGTTACTTTCTGTTGGCTGGGCAGTGTAGTTTTACACACCGTCTGATTTTACTTCCTCAGGACTTAAAACTGTTTTTTGGTGGCAGACCCCCTCAAAGAAAAAAATATATACACGCATACAAGGTCATCATCTTAACAGTTCGTTATTCTCATCGAGTCATCCGTGAGCAGAGCATCAAGTTGGCATATTACAGCTGAATGCGGTGATTACCATTTTGTTCAGCAAAACGCCTCACAAACGTATTAAGATCCAAAGCTTTAGTGCGTTTTGATTCAATGCTGAGTACAGCCAAACTTGACATTCTCTTCTCTGTGTAGATCGCAACTACCCTCATTCCTTCAGTGCTTGGGTCCGAAATGCTTCTCGTTTTGCGCCGTCCACCGTTCAACTGAATTCGCCATCAATCATATTTCCAGTCTCGCGCCAGGGCCGGGGGAGGGGTTACAAGACACGCGTCTTGTGCTGCATTCACTTGCACTCGGACATTAGAGATTTTCTCTCAGAAATGTCCGATGAGCCACAACTTTTCTTTCAAAACAAAGATGCCAACTGGGGTGGCAGCTGGGGTGGCAAGGCTATTGTTTAGGGTGGCAGTTGCCACCCCATGCCACCCCGGTAGATCCGCCCCTGATGACAGGTGAGGCTCTGCCTCCCCTGACTGCACGTCGCTGATACACACATGTATCACTGTGGAACATGGTGGGGATTAAAAAAAGGTTTGATACCTCAGTCTACCAATATAAACATTTTAGAGCAGGACAATTAAATCAGTAGCAAATATTGTTTTTTTTATGTCATTTCTATTTTATATGAGTAAATACACAGAACATGAAATCTCTACAGACATTATTGTGTCAGTTGCTTCCAAATATTTACAAGATTTGAATAACCATAATTAAAGTCAGACTGCTCAATCCAGATCAACAGGAATGTGTGAGATGCTGGTTCAGTTTGAGTTGAATTGATGGCAGTACTCCCATAGCGCAGAGGTCATATGTGTCTGAAGGTACAGAGTACTTCCTCATTTCTAAGTTAATATTTGCAAATACTAAGCAAATTGATGCTGAAATGATATTCATGAGGAGGACAAAGTTAAAGAAACACTTCCATCGGCTAATGGAAAATGCTTAATGGCTAATCGCCTGAATTAACAACCGGCTTATTCGCTTGTTTTGATGATGAGTGGGTTTTGAGTTGAGTTCAATTCATACCCTTTGCAATGATGTTACACCAATACAACATAACCACTAGTGATTTTTTATATATATATATATATATATATATATATATATATATATATATATAAAAAAGGCATTTCTAAAACTACCACAAGGTTCCTGTTCACTTGTAGAAACTTGAACATGTGTTCATTGATTAGTTACACTCATGCATTAGATATGTGCTAGCTTGCTTGGTTAGGTTGACTCAAGCTAAATCAACTAAACAAATCCATGCCGTATTTCTGAAGACATTGAGACGTTCCCATCTACTGAGATGACCTTTGGTAATTAGAAATTCTTTATTAACATTTTTGAAAGCTTAACTTTGGCTAACACTTCGTATCCTTGAATGCAGTCTTTGATTAAGTTAGTTAGTTTCGATAAGAGCCCAACAAACTGGATTTTTGAGGCCAATTTAAAATATTGATATTTGACAGTAAAAAAAATAGGATGAGGATTGATTTCATTTTTTTATTAAGATGTCTTTTTGAAGAATTTTGACAATTTCTTGGCAATCCATCTGATGTCAGATGTTGAGTAATATCAGTCCGGACCGAAGTGGTGGACAGACAAGCATTGCTATCTCTACAGTGAAGCTGAATTTTACACAATACATTTGAAATAAGCTGCCACTTCAAATATGATCAGCCGGCTACATGGATGGAGTCTGTAACGCTGCGAGTTGTTGCCTCAGCAGCTTCCACTTTGTGTTTGTTTGCGCCACTCGGAGTGTTTCACCACCTTGGTTAGCGCAGCAGCAGGATGTAAGTATAACTCCTCTAAGGGCTACATGACACTCTCTGCTCTGTTTCACTGTAACATCTGTCAGGTCCACTGGGTGTTGAAAAGTTTCAGAAGGATACATTTAGATTTATCCCATATTTATTTATTGTTTATGATTGTTAAGATGATTATAGTATATCTTGTGGGGGTTTCTTCATTCTTTGCACCACTCTCCTGATGTTTATTTCAGACAGGAAGTGCACACAGCTGTTGTTATGCATGTAAATGGTGTGCAGAGTCAAAGCCCTCAAAGTACACCATGTAGGGAGTAAAACTCTAACACAGAAAATACCTCCCCAAAACGCCTCGTTGGAGATACGTCACTGTCCATTTGATTCTTCCGGGTACATCATGATGTCATGTCGTCCCCGGAACGAAATGGACCAATCCGTGGAGTCGTTACGTTACGTCCGCGGAGCCGTTACGTTAAGCCCCCGCTGATTGGTCCACGGACTTCCTCACACACTCAGTGCAGGCAGCTCTGCTGATCTCTCCTCCCTGGCTGCAGGCTGATAACAGACAGTTGGGATCGCGGCGAAATTCTCTCTGCAGACCCATTCTCACAGCGTTTATCAACCTTTTTCTTACTCAATATCAAGCCACACTTATTGTTTTTACTTCGGCTGTGACTTTGTGTGTGCTCAGGGTGAGTTTGGCTGTGTTTCGCTGTGTATCGCTAAACAAGGAAATAACACCTCCACGGAGCTCAGCGCGATTCACAACGTCCCGACTGGTCCCGACTGGTCCCGACCAATCGGAGCACACTGGGCTCACAGGGAGGGGGGGGGGGCAAGAGCTGCAATGAGCCGTTTAGTGGAGAGAGTGAATACTGCTGAATACACGTACTATACAGAGTGCTGTATGCGAAACCAATGTGATTTTGGAACATTGAATAATGTAAATCTATTCTAGTAGACCTCAACAATGGAATTATGATCAGTGGAAATGGCCATGACATGTGACCTTTAATATATATTTTTTATTTCAATATATATTTCAAATGGTCATTTTTAAATACGGTGACTATGAGATTTATCGCCCTACAACTCATGTGGCCCTCAACTTTATGGCTTCTGCAGTAAAGTTACAACAGTGAGCCTTACAGGGTTAAGACATTTTGTTTTCAATAAATGAGTTCCAGTTTTATCTTGTTATAGTTAATGTTTTCTTATTTAATGTATGTTTATCATCTGTCTTTTATCTGGTGTTCCCTGCAGTTGGATGTAAGGACGTGGCGATATCAGAGCTGCAGGAGCAGCTGAGGGACGTGATGTTCTATCTGGAGGCGCAGCAGCAGATCGAGCACCTTCCCCCAGAGGCCCGCAGCGAGATCCAGGAGGGACAGATCAACATCGGGGCCGGCCCGTCAGAAGGGGCCGGAGCAGAGCCCCCCTCGAGCCGGGGCAGGAGGGGCCGGGGCAGGAAGAGGAAGTAGGCGGCAGTTAAATCTACTGGAACATGCTAGAATATATCGCCGCCTCTCAGAGTGGACACATGGCTGAGCTTTGTCCTTTTGTGAACGTCTGCTTCATCATTGGTGTTCCCTTGAAAGAGGGAAAATGACTTATCTCCTGGAAGAAAGATTAAATATTCACATTTACCTTCCCCACTCCCCACTCCCCACTCCCCATCTAAACTCAATGTAGCTTCCACAGAAAGAGAATGTGGACGGATGACACGCTCATTAAAGAGACTGCTGCGTGCTTTCCACATATATTAAACATCCGTGTGATGCAAATATATTCTGCTGTACCCAAATCTAAAGAGAGCTACTTTCATTTGTTCCCGGTTAATACCCTGTTGTAGTACTTCTTGTCATAGACGGCTTTTATATATTTTTTGTTTTCTTTCACATCAGCGAATGTTGTCAAAGTGAAGCAGATGGATGAATGTTTGCTTTGTGTTTAAACAAAATGATCTTTTCCTAAATGTGTACGCTTTTCTTGTCCATTCGGTCAAATGCACACGATTCGGTCTTCAAAATGATTTCTAAAAAGCTTCCAAAACTAACAGTGAACACTACTCAGGATGACGAAGATAAACAGGAGGAACGTCGATATGCTTTCTCTGATGCGTCAGGTTGATGGCTGCTGGAAAGTCCGGGGACAGAGCCAGAGCGTTCCCACTAACAGGAAGCTCTCTGAAAGAGCAGGAATCATGTTTCCCCTCTATCAACCTAGGTCAATGATTCCTAAACGGGTGTATGTTTAGCTACCAGTGACTTCCTGATAAATGCAGTAGGACCTCGGGGCAAGCAGTTAGACAAGAAACTAATCTGCAGATGAATCGATAATGAGCCATATTTGGCAGCCCTAGCTATAAATGTTTATATGAACGTGGTTTAAAAGGAGTAAACTAGCTCATCATTTAAAAGCTCTTTACTGATAATGCATCGGAAATAACACTCCACTAATGTAAAAGGACACGCAGTAGTGGCACTTTGCTTTTAATACTTCCTTAAATTAAGTATATTTTGCTGCAAATATTTTCAAATTAAAGTAAGATTCTAAGTGCAGGAATGACAGCTTTTTATTCCCACTTTGGCTTGTGTTGCGGACAAACTAATCCTCTCGGCACATGTGAGCTTCAGGTTTGGAAACTGCAGATCTAGGCCATGTGTTATGTGAGCCTGTATACAAAGCACCGAACACAATCTATTTTGGAAACATTGGAGTGGTCCATGACCTTAACTATGACGCTGAGCAAGATGTCAGAGATTAGGAGAAGGGTCTGCTTTCACAATTTTAAAGGATTTCTGCTTGTTCTTGTGACATTCATTACTTAGTTAAACATTTAAACTTGCAGACTATTCCTGTAAAAGCGTTAGATTGACCCAAAAGGCCTTAAATCTGAACTTCGGTGTAGCAATGACAAACTTTTCATTCGCTAAGAAAGTTGTTTAAACTCAACCTCAAGAAAAACAATATTCTTCAACCTGAGAACTCTGATAAAAATAATTCAATATTCTGAGAAATACACTTCTTTGCTTTCTAACAAAGAGCACAATGAGGACATTGATACCACATATCAATATTCTCATTTATCTTTTCCAAAAACAAATAAGTATTTCCCAAAATGCTGAATTATTCTACTTGGTATATCTGATGTGCCCGAGAGTAACTGTCACTTTATATGTAGGTTTGTTTTGATCGTTTTCTTAGTGTATGTGCACAAGCTACAAAAACAATAAACCTGGACAGGACAATTTCAGTACATATGGAAATATCTTTTCAAATGTGTTTTTCTTTCATGTTGGCTCTGAAATCATGCTCCAAAGTTCAATAAATGGTTTTCTAAAGTCTTCCACGTTGTTCCGAGGTGAACCGCATGCTGTTCAGTTGAAGTAACGTCCTGCAAAACCCGTGAGAATCTGCACTAACACCTTTTTATATGTTGAGCTTAAAATAGAAAGATCTGCAGCTGTCAGTCACAAATGCTGTCACGCATGACTAATCCTCCTCTTCCTACTACAACATTAACAGTTTACTTCCAGCAGCTTGTTGGAGTAAGCTGTGTACACAGGCTGAATGAAGCTGAGACACTGAGACATGATTAATGCTCAGACTTCATGAGCTTCCTTCTGCAGCTCCCTTTTTCACACCTTCTGTACAATCATCCTCACACTCGAGCTTTGTCTGAGCATTTCTCATCTACAAATTACAGTCAGCTTTTATGAATGTCAGAGTTCAAAGCAAATGCTAGAACGCCTGGTTTTCTTTGTAGCTAGCGACGAGCTTTATTTGTACACATGAATTCGTAGGCAAATGATATACAGTATGCAAAAAGCTGTCACTCCTGTTGGTTCTATAGTTTGATCCGGCCTTACAAAGTCTGTGCTCCCACTCCAACAGCAGTACAGCTCTCATTCACTCCCCCTTATTGATTCATCTTTTTGTTACAAAATGATCAAAAGTGACATTATTTAAATTGCTTGTTTTTATCTTAGAACCCATTTACTTAGAACAACAAATCCTCACATTTGAGAAGCTGGAAGAAACAAATATTTGGCAAATATTTGTATAAGTAGTGACTGAAGAAATTGATCAAAACAGCAGGTCGACAAGCGACACTTGAAATCTTGTGCACAATTTAGAAAAAACTAGCATTTGATGTTAAAAATCTACTTTTTGACCCATTACTGTTCACTTCTGGCATGTTTGAATTTGTAGCTGCCGATGTTCCAATGTATTTACTTGGATTTCATCATTCATACAGCGTTGGTGAAATGATATAAGTAGCCATACAATTCTACCCCAACACCTTTCCCCCCTCTGAAATGTAAAGTAGTTTGTGGACGAGTTTTAAGTACTCAAATAAACTTCAAGTAACTTAAAATGTGACTCGATTGAGTAGATGTACTTAGTGACTTTCCACAACTGAATGAATAGAAAGTGCAGATAGAGATGAGGAAGTTATAATTATTCACATTTCCTGTTTAATACATAAAACAGACAGAAGAGCCACAACATAACCATTAAGCAAGCAGCCTGTTACATGTGGTATTTGCACAGATGATAGAAGTATCTACTTTGAACACCAGATCTTAGAAATGGACTAGTGTCTGATTAATAAAGTTTAGACTTGGATTTTGAAGTAAGAATTTGATTCCCACATGTAATATAATTTAAAGCAAGAAAGCACTGTTAGCTGTTTGAAAAGGCACATACAGTAGTGAAGGTTTATAGCTGTTTAACGAACCAATGGGGGTGTAACATGTCGGAGCATAAAGTGGAGAGAATGAGAAGAAAAAGGAGGAGCTGGCAGTGTGTGAAGGTACGACAGACAGATAGGAGGGCTCTTCCTGAGTGTGGCTGTTTGCTCTCTGCTTCTCCACTCCCAAGCTATGGACTAAACCTACGCTGATCTCTCTGGAGGAACATTTGAAGGTAAGACAATTCTTGTTTCTTGCATGTTTTCACTTCAACTCCTTATTTTCAGTGTCTCATTTCCCTTCTTTGTGCTTTGCATGATAAGTATGTGTGTGCAGCTGAGTGTAATTCAGAACCTGTCTCTGTTCAGTGTGACTCCACACAAAAACTCACTTTTAAACATGTGTGTGTGTGTGTTTCATCTTTAAGTACCTGCACCCTTTAGCAGCCATAACTCACACAGGGCTGGGGGAAGTATAAGCTCACAAGAAACATTTATTTTTTTACCCAGCAAACCTCCTCTAAAATGTTTGGTATGCAGCCGGTCCTCTCAGGTCCATGCATGTGAAAGGACAGCAGATACTGAACCTGATACTGTCTCTCTCTCCCCTGTGAGTTTGCTGAATTATTTTGTTCTGAAGTAAAGGGGCTTGGACACAGGAGTTTGATACGTTTACCAGAAATGATGCTGCTCTGTGCCAACAATAATATCCGACACATTCACTCGTTTTCTTTGGGATTGGAGCTGTTTTTCCCTATTTTCTACGGCAGGAATATAAATACATTTTCCAGTTTGACTGCTACAACGGTTGCATATGGCACATTGTGTCCCTCAGGGTGTGTAACTGGTAGTTCCCTTTTCTCTGTAACTTACACTACATGCTAAACCAAGAGTAGTGTGAAACCAGCACGATCTCACATTTGTCTATCATTTATTTATTTGCCAACAGATTGTGAAATAAATAGGGAGTGAAAGTATGTGAATTATTTGGTGATTCAGAATGCGGCCACAGCAACTTTATGTCAAAGCAGATGTAATAAAAGATTTTAAGATTGCAAAACTTCAACTGAGTGTAGAAAACAATCCTCAATTGGGTGCAGTTGCACAAGGAGTTATTTTGCAGTGCAGGCCAGCAGCCTTCCTGAATGGATTGCACTTCCTTCTTTTTGCAGGAACATCTCCAAAGTATTATTACTTGTTTTGAATATCATGTTTGAAAGAGAACAGCAGCTCTGTAGCTCTGTAGGCTACCTGTTTGATATTAACACGTTACATCTCTACGCGAAAGATGCATACGTCTGATAAAGAAGAAACATGTGACAGAACCGATGACTGGTAAGTGAGTTCTGATCTACAAGGATATATTATCAGAAACTCTGCTTAGGTATTTGGCTATGACTGCAGTCATTTCAAAACCAAACATTTTCAACTCAAGCTGCATCATCCATTACATTGTGGTTAATTAATGTGTATAAAAAATCAGGAATTAAGCTATTATTTGCCTTCAATTTCGATTAGTCACTGTTATTTTACTCTTCTACAAAGTTTGTTTTCCCCGTCAGAAAAGAGGAAGTAACTGAGAAATGAAGCAAACTGTTGCAGCGTCCATGCTCTGTATCTGATGCAGCTGTAACTGATAGCATGACTAAGCACTAACATCTGTCTGTGATAGAGCTGAGATAGATAACAGAAAAAGGAAGGCAGATTGTTTGCAGTGGTAGAAGATTTCAGATCCTTTACTTTACTATTGACAGAAAAGCAACATTATATTCATAACTACGTTCTCATTACTGTAAAATCACCTTAAACTAGGTAGTGTGCATTTGTGTATGCTAACAATTTGCTTTTCTTATATGCATAGGCAGCAGTTCCTATTTAGTAAGTCCACTACGTTGCACCACCTTGTTTCTACAGTAGCCCAAAATGTACAAATACCCCCAAGAAGAGGCCTTTTGAATGATAATTATACCTGACTGCCACTGTATATTCACCACAGGGGTGAGTGAAGGTGTATTTAAAGGTGGGGTAGGTAAGTTTGAGAAACCGGCTCGAGATACACTTTTTGTTATATTGCATGGAATGCTCTTAACATCCCGATAGCAATGAATATCTTAATTGCTTTGACCAAAAATCCATTAAAAAATGTCATCTGTGGAAGCCGTAGTATTGTAAAAAGCACGACCAATCATTTTAGCCGGCCCGGCTAAAATAACTGGATGGCCTACCTGCCTGTCAGCCTTCCATCTGTGCCCTCATTGGTCATGTGCGCGTTCGTGTGTGTTGGAGGAGGGGCTCTATAAGGAAGTGGCAGATTTGTTCCGGCTGTCGGTTAAATGGATTCCTTGCGTCCCTCACTTGCGTCGTTTCCCCTGCCTCTAGTCCCTCCCACCAGGGAAGCATGGAGGGACGCAAGGAAACCACGAGAAGCAGGGAAATTAGTTTTAAGAGCAATGGGACGTCCTTTCCTCCGGAGCGTCACGTGAAGCGACGTCCGTTTGTGATGACGCCGCACAGCTGTTCGTCTGACAGCAGCCAGCTCTGTCCCCGTTATTTCCACACACACCCCCCGCCACACATTTACTGACACAAACATTTGTATCATCTGTTGTAGACCCCAATAAATAAAATAAAATAAGAACTCATTCTCAAAAAAGATAAACGCCATTCTTAAACTGTATAAACGAACAATTCTTTCACACACACATACGGGTTTTGGGCCGAGGGCGACACCGTACTTCCGGTATCCACCATTTCACACGAGGTGCAAGCAGAATATCATAGTCTATTGCCTTAATCAATATCTAGTCAACTCTAAAATACCACATATATGCATTGGCATGATAATATTATTGTGACAAGTGGGGTATTCACCTGGTGTTTCCAGAAGATAGACGTAGATGCTGCCAAAATCGACCGAAGGCCACTTTCGAGAGTCGTTTTTCCATACATCTGCAGGCAGTCTGTAAGGGCAATCGGACAACCCACACAGCTCTAGTTTACGCTGGTAACGACCTAGAGCACACCCCTCAAGTCCAGAGATGTAATCCGAAGACATGCAGCGATTTCTTCGGTCGTTAATTCAGAAAAAAAACCTAGTAATTACCTAGCTGTTTATATTAGCACCTCCAGGAAAATGGCGTTTTTCTATAGAGTTATATGGCGCGCGTTGCATTGTGGGTAGCTCGTGACGTCACTGTGTGTGAAAGAATAGGCAAGGCAAGGCAAGTTTATTTATATAGCACCTTTCAACACAAGGCAATTCAAGGTGCTTTACAAAAATGAAAGACATTCAGACAAAGGCATTTAAAAACAGTAAAAGATAATAAAAGAAACATTAAAAGAAAAAATACATGAATAAAAAGTTACAGTGCAGTTTAAGATATGAATAGTTCACACAGAAGTTCCACTTTACTGATGAACACAACGGCTCAGTTTCAATTAAAAGCAGCGACAAAAAGAAAAGTCTTCAGCCTGGATTTAAAAGTAGTCAGAGTTGTAGCAGACCTGCAGGTTTCTGGGAGTTTGTTCCAGATATTTGGAGCATAATAACTGAACGCTGCTTTACCATGTTCTGACTCTGGGGACAGAAAGCTGACCAGTCCCTGAAGACCTGAGAGATCTGGATGGTTCATAATTTAGCAGGAGGTCAGAAATGTATTTTGGGCCTAAACCATTCAGTGCTTTATAAACCAGCAGCAGTATTTTTGAAATCTATTCTTTGACACACAGGAAGCCAGTGTAAAGACTTCAGAACAGGAGTGATGTGATCCACTTTCTTAGTGTTAGTGAGGACTCGAGCAGCGGCGTTCTGAATCAGCTGCAGCTTCCTAATAGATTTTTTAGTGAGACCTGTGAAGACACCATTACAGTAGTCCAGTCTACTGAAGATAAAAGCATGGACAAGTTTTTCCAAATCCTGCTGTGACATTAGTCTTTTAATCCTAGATATGTTCTTTAGGTGATAGTAGGCTGATTTAGTAACTGTTTTAATGTGACTGTTGAAACTCAGGTCAGAGTCCATGACTACACCTAGATTTCTGGCTTTATCTGTTGTTTTGAACATTGCAGGCTGAAGCTCAGTGCTAACTTTTATACGTTCTGCTTTGGCTCCAAAAACCATTACCTCAGTTTTGTCTTTGTTTAATTGGAGAAAGTTCTGACACATCCAGTCATTGATTTGTTCAATGCATTTACTCAGTGTTTTAACTGGAGAATAGTCTCCTGGTGAAATGGTTATGTAAATGTGTGTGTCATCCGCATAGCTATGGTAACTTATTTGGTTGTTTTTCATTATCTGAGCTAGTGGTAGCATGTAGATGTTAAAGAGAAGAGGCCCCAAGATGGAGCCTTGAGGAACCCCACATGTCATATTTGTCAACTCAGATTTGTATTTACCTATAGAAACAAAGTTGTTTCTGTCCTTTAAGTAGGATTCAAACCAATTTAGAACTGTTTCCGAAAGTCCCACCCAGTTTTCCAGTCGGTCTAGTAATATGCTGTGGTCAACAGTGTAAAACGCAGCACTGAGATCTAATAGTACTAACACTGAAGTTCTGCCACTGTCTGTGTTTAAGTGGATGTCATTGAAGACCTTTACAAGAGCAGTCTCAGTGCTGTGGTTTGGACGAAATCCTGACTGGAACACATCCAAACAGTTATTTAAATGCAAGAAATTACTCAACTGTTGAAAGACTACTTTTTCAATGATTTTACCTAGAAATGGGAGGTTTGATATGGGCCTGTAATTGTTCATTACTGAAGCGTCTAGATTATCAATCAATCAATAGCTTGATTAATATTGATTCGAGTGCACAATAGAAATAAAATAATTGAGAGAAGAAAAATAGATATGTTATCTATCAAAACCCAGTTAGATTAACATTCATTGGATTGCACACTTTGTTTGTTTGTGTGGATATGAAGCACATTAACATTTTAATAGCACTTAATGACTGACTGAATGGAAATGACAATAAATGAAAATGTAAAACGAAAAAAGCGATCATGAAAATGTTTCCAATAAATGAATAAAATGATTTTTGACCACTTTGTTGTTCAGATATATCACATATTTATAACTAAATGATACATGAATTGAAACAAAACACAGTATAGACTGAGAAGTGACTCGTGAGTTTCATGTATTTTCTTCACTCCGCTGGGAAACGGCTCTCATGTCAAGAAGCATCAGATCAGTGCATGCGCTGCATCGTACAATCAGTGAGCGATACACATTCATCGGAGGATGGTCTGGTGGTTCCTCGGTTATCGCTCCTCGGTCCTCGGTCCTCTGGCAGAAATAAGAGCCATGGGACGGTACTCAAGATGGCGCAGACAAATCAACTTCCAGTAAGACCGAGGAGCGAGGAAATGAAAATAGTCGACCTGAGACGGGGCCTGTGTATTTTCAAATTCTAGCGATCTCGAGCTGGTTTCTCCAAAATTACCTACCCAACCTTTAAGTGGTTGCAATCTGTAAACTTACCACTAGATGCCGTTAAATCCCACACACTGGACCTTAAATTAAAGGTCCCCTATTTTGCAAAATGCCCTTTTTGATGTCTTTTATACATAAATATGTAAATAGGTGACTCACAAAGTATCAGAAAATACAACCCTCTCTCTTTTCGCCGAAAATTAGGATGAGCGCCAATGGTCAAAAATGTTTTTCCCCTCCCAGAGCTTCCAGCGTAGCGCCCCCAGATCTGGCCGCCTATGCCAAAAATCGGCGCCACTATTTGAATATAGGGGAAACACTGTGCTTACTTGTTTCAGTTAAAGGAAAAGATTGAAAGCACTTCACAAATAAAGCACCTTACCCAAAAATATCCAACTACTTTTCTATCATATTAATATTAGAAAAGTATTCCAGCAACAACAAGAAAATTAAATAGTAATTGTACATAATTTAACCAAAACAATGCGCTTAAAGACACTCAAATGCCTAGTTATTTACAGCTGCTTTATGTCGTCTTTTCTCTGCAGATGAGCGACCAAGAGAGCAGCACATCCACCTCTCAGACGGAGGGAGAGGTGGAGGGAGAGCTGGATGAAGAGGTGGACACAGAGATGGAGGGTGAAGGAGAAAACGATTCAAAACACAGGGACAGTCCGCCTCTCCAAATATCCAGCTTCTCCTCCACTCTGCGTGCCGTCATTCGGATCAAACAGAAGTACCATGCCCTGAAGAAGAGGCGTCAGGAGGTGGAGGGGGGCGGGGCCCTCACAGGGGCCACAGGGAGGACCAGCCCCAAAATCTTCACCTTCGACGGAACAACCCCTATCGCCTTGTCCGTCCCTCAGAAGAAGAAGAGGAAAAGGAGGAGACGGGTGATGTATCCCAACAGAGGGAAGCGCCGGGCCCCCCCCAAACCGGCACGCAGCCGAGCCAAATACTGCCTCTACCTGCTCTTCGCCATCGTCTTCGTCCAGGTAAAGGAGCTTAGTACAGACCTCATTTAAATAGCAAAAATAGGGGGCTTGTATAATAATCAACAATGTAATTATTACTTTACATTCCTAATTGGCACAGGGTTAGGGGCCAACAAAAAGTCACTCAGAGACACAAACAGACCAGAGAGACACTCATAATGACCACAAAAGACTACAAAGGGACACAAAATAACTATGAAGACACACAACATAACTACAAAGGGGTGCAAAAGATTACAAACACATGAAAAATACCACAACAATTTGCATAATGACTAGAAGGACACACAAAACAATAGCAAACATGTAAAAAACGACCAAAATAACATATTAAACTACAAAGACACGTAGAACAACTAAAAAAGAGACAAAGAAATGCAAAACTGGGTGTAAAAATAGACTGAGCTGTTTACATGCTCCGTCGTGTCAGCGTTCATTCTCACTACAATATCAGGTCAAACGTGACTCATGCATCGTTACCTATCTTGCGGTCCCTCTGAAGTGATTTCACACAGCGCATTCATTCCTTTGTGAGTCATCCTGCCGTGACGGTTTCCGACTGTTTTTTCATCCTGTGTATCTACCATTACTAATAGTTTATTTTGCAGTATCCAACACAAACATTTAGAATTTGTGTGTTTCCTGTTGCTCATGTCAGCTGAGCGGAAACAAACTTAGCTGTAGCTTTTAGAAACGACCGGAACAGATGACAAGGGCTGATTTGTAAAAAGGTAAACAAGTGGACTGGCTTATCATTAGATGAGCATCCTAAATGACCTCTCTACTGCCTGAATTTACATTTTCAGTTTAAAAAGTTGCAGTTTGAATGTCATCCAAGTATTGCATCTTTTGGTCTTAATATGTAATGGTTAAAAGTCCATTGTGTGATATTAAAGGTCACCAGTGGCGGCTGGCGGAAAATATTTTAGGTGGGGCTGTGGAAATGGTGACCAAACAATACTAGGGGCGTCCGGGGGGTTGCTCCCCCTATAAAACAAATTGAGAAAAGACCCCTTAAATTATGACTTCTGGTGATGTTAGAGGGGGGGGGGGGGGGGGGGGGGGGACAAATTGAGGCTTAAAAATATGAGAAGACTGATCAATACCTCCATAATCTTCAGTGTGGTTAGCTATGAATCTTCCAAAACATCCAAACACCTTGTCCTGGACATAATTCTACAGTATAAACTATGCAACAGTACAGTAGGCCCACACAAACGGCAGAACACCGGGGCTTTGGCAACACTCAAAATTACTTGAATGATTGATAAAATGATTTAATTCCCATTTAACCTGTTAAGGGGCTTTTTCTCACAAAACTGTGTCTCAGGGCTTCTTAAAATGTAATAAACTATTCATGTGTTCTACTCATTTAACAGGAAGAAACTCAGCTAACTGATTATATGAACCATCTTTACCGAAACAAAAAGTCTCACAAGAAGCGTCTAAATGAGCCCTGAGCGAAAAAATGCTAACGCACGTATAAATCAATCGATATACTTATCGGATATGCACAAACAAGTTTAGCTAACAAGCTGAGATTCCACAGATTCTAGAAATATAAGTATCATCACTGAGCGATCAGAACTCGCGACAGGGGAAGCAAATACAGAAATCACACGACGTTACTTTAGGTAGCAAAACACGGAGATATGCTCACCTTTTGCTGTTATTCTGATCAAAAACGAGAGAAACGCGGCTGAAGGTTAATCCATAGGTTAATCCAATGTGTCTGTCACTTTGAAACAATTATTGATAATCCATAATTCCATTTTTATGTCAAAAACTGAGTTTTCACATTAGCTGCTAATGATAGCTTCCAGAGTGTATGACAGCTTCCTGTTTTGTCTCCTTGGATACGAGTCCAAACAACTCACAGACTGCACCGGGCGCTGACGTAGGCGCCCTGTGACCATCAGATTTGACAACGCTGAAATTATGTTTCGGCGGCATAGTTTAAAGATAGAAACAGTTGGCTTCTGCTGCACTTTCTGCACTCTCGTCTGGGCGCTGTGCATAGCGCCCAACAAAAAATATAATTTATATATATATATATATATATATTTTTTTTAATGTGGGAAGAGGGGGGGCGGAGCCTCTAGCGCCCCTATGGGCCGGCCGCCACTGAAGGTCACCTATTATGCACAATGCTCTTTTTTATGTATTGTATACATAAATATGTGTCCCCGGTGTGTAAGGAGACTCACCAAGTGTCAGAAAATGCAACCCTCTCTCTTTTCCTCCTTACCCAAATCTATAAAAACGGGGGTACAACGGAGCTGATCCAGATTTGCTGCGGACTTGACGTCATATCTGAAATGCGTGACGTTTTTTAGAAGTAATATGGTCCGTGTTTACATTAGCAAGCATCGCTAACACTCAGTGCTAACGCTGTACTGGAGAAAATCACGGCAGCGTTTAGCTGAGTTTCTGCCGGTAGACAGCCTTCTCTTCACAGAGCTCACCGCTTGCATGCGCAGCTCGGTTACATTTAAAGGGACAGACCCAGAATCAGCACTTTTGTAACAGGGCTGAAATAGAGGTGTATGAGGCATGCTACAATGTGTGATCTGTTTGGTATTTTGAGCAAAAGGATTCAGAGACATGTTTTGTATAGATATGGCACTATAATCAGGGCTGCACATAACTGGTGCGCAGGTGCGCATGCGCACCTCCGCCAAAAAAAGAGCACCGTGTCATTTGAAAAAAGGCGCATTTGCGTACCAACATTGAGAGAGAGAGAGGGAGAGAGAGAAGAGAGGAGAGAGAAGAGAGAAAAGAGAAGAGAGAAAAGAGAAGAGAGAGAGAAATATATTTGCGAGTTGCATATTAACCTATGATATGAACTCAGGGCCGGCCCGTAGCTCTGGCGTAATAGATGTTCGCCTAGGGCGCCAGATCTGTGGAGGCGCTGCGCTGGCAGCTCTGGGAGGGAAAAAAACATTTTTGACCGTTGGGGCTCATCCTAATTTTCGGCCTTGATGTAACAATATTCACAATTAAGTAAATGTACACCCTTTTCACCCCGGTTACACGTTTCATTTGCCCTGTACGATGGGCGCTGTAAGTGATGAAAATGGGGGATGTTGGCTTATCTGGCGCCCGCAGCTCACAGCCAAAATGCGAGTGAGCGAGAGAGATAGGGAGGGTGCACCGGTACCGGCGCTGTTGTTATTAGAATCTGGTGCTAGCTGCTTTTACGGATATAAGAAGAACATGTTTCTACAATAATGTGGAGGGAGAGTCCTCTCCAGTCAGACTGAGAGGCTGATACTACAGCTCAGTGAGGTAAAGGACTCTGAGTGTTTAGATAGTTAACTTTAGTCTAAGTTCAAACGGTTTGGTCACAATTTATGTAAACACATATTTCCAAGGCTCTCCTTTATAATTATTGGGATAAACAGGTTTGAAATAATTCCAATGTATACTATAGGACAGTAACCAAAAATATCCTTTAAATCTGGAGATAAAAAAAATGCATAAATAAATAAATGTTAAAGGTGGGGTAGGTAAGTTTGAGAAACCGGCTCGAGATACACTTTTTGTTTTATTCCATGGAATGCTCTTAACATTCCGATAGCAATGAATATCTTAAGTGCTTTGACAAAAAATCCATTAAAAAATGTCATCTGTGGAAGCCGTAATACTGTAAAAAGCTGTAAAAAATTGGATTGGATTGCCGCCCTGTCTGTCAGCCTTCCATCTCGTGCACGCACAAATGTATCTCGTGCCCTCATTGGGCGTGCCGTAATTGGGCGTGCATTGCGCGTTCATGTGTGTTGGAGGAGGTGCTCTGTAAGGAAGTCTGAAGGAAGGGGCGGATTCTTTTCAGCTGTGTACTTTCAAATGTTAGTGCACTCGAGCCGGTTTCTGAAACTTACCTACCCCACCTTTAAGGTAAAATAAGATATGAATGAACAACATAAATAAAATAAGTTACATTAATTTGTTATTGGCTATGGTAGGTTATTGGTTATGTTCACATACTTATTTGACTACATCCACTTGTCTAATGGCGCATTTCCACTGCAGCGCGTAGCCCCGTTTAAGCGTCCTTAACCGTCCTCAAGCGGCCAGGCCAGTTTTTGGTGGCCTTTCCATATAGCCTAGTACCGGCTAGCGGGTACTTTTTCCCTCTTTTTCCGGCCCCATAAAATCGTGGTTCTATCAGACCAGGGCCAGGGCTGAACTAGTGACGTCAACACTCTCGACTGCTGATTGGCCAGAGAGAATCGTCACAAGATCGCGCGCGAGTTCATCCCTAGCGTCGCATATAGGCTATATTTAGAAGCAAGCTTGCAGCATTTTTATAAACAGCATTTTGTAAACGGATGAGCTACAAAAATGGCTACGTCTAATAAGAAAAGCACACCGTGGTCGACCGAGGAGGTGACGACGTTCCTACATCTCATTGGGGATGATCAAATCCAGCGGGAGCTCGACGGAACAACTCGAAATGTGAACAAAAACAAAGCCGATCGCCCCGCCTACACTGCGTTGCTACCCCAGGTCCTAAACTGTAATGGAAATGCGCCACGGCCTCGGACAGCCAGCGAGGCAGCCAGGGCGGCCTGAGCGAGGACGCTTAGGGACGCTTAAACGGGGCTACCCCGTTGCAGTGGAAATGCGCCATAAGATGACAACAGAGACTTTCGACCCAAAACCAGCTTGAATACAATGGAATGTAATTTCTAATTTATTTGTTCATGGAAGTCATTCCTGAAGATTATATCACCATAATGGAGGACTAAAGGAAATTCTGCCTCAGTTATATTTTACAAACACTTAAAAGAAGATGAACCTTTATTAACTCCCCTAGGGGGAAATTCAGTTTTTGCAGATAAAAGGGTAGTTGGATATGTTCTTGTAAACAATCTGAGTTGAGTGTATCACTATGAAGCAACTTTAAAGGGGTGTCCCAAAGTTAAGTTTTTAGAGTTAAGTTTACAAACTCATATTAGCTGCTTAAATATATGGCTATTTTCAAGAGAGATGTCTTAAAATATTAAGGTAAAATAAGATATGAATGAACAACATAAATAAAATAAGTTACATTAATTTGTTATTGGCTATGGTAGGTTATTGGTTATGTTCACATACTTATTTGATTACATCCACTTGTCTAAGATGACAACAGAGACTTTCGACCCAAAACCAGCTTGAATAAGATGGAATGTAATTTCCAAACCCAGCTGTTGACTTGTGGATGCAAGCAGCTAATCACAGACTCAACCAGAGAGAAAGAAGTAGGCCTACATCATCAGCTACCATGTCTGACAGAGAGGAAGACAGTGAGGAGAACAGTCAGGAGGGTAGTGATGACAGCTTGTAGGATTACTGGTCGTGCTAATGTTGTCTTGTGTTCACCTCTGCATGTGTGTTCTGTGTTCACCTCTGCATGTGTGTTCAGTGCCGTGTGTCCGGCAAATAAAGTCCAGACCCCCTCAAAAGTTACGGTTTATTTCATTTTAAGGATGAGCACCAAGCAACATCTCCAGGTGCTCCTTTGAGAACCAGGGCAAAAAAGTTATGTGCACCCCTGACTATAATATATTGTTCAGATATAGTAAAATATGGGACCTTTAAGGGGGACCTATTATCAGTAATGTAATATTAACATCTCGTTTTTATCCAGGTGTACAACGCTATAGAGAACCTCGACGACCACCTTCTCAGGTACGACCTGGAGGGGCTGGACAAGACGCTGAGGAGGGAGGTGTTCGGGCAACAGGGAGCGGTGGAGGGTCTGCTGTCCCACCTGAAGGAATACCTGTCCACCTACGTCCACAACAAGCCCCTGGTGGTGTCCCTGCACGGCCCCAGCGGAGTGGGAAAAAGCCACCTGGGACGCCTCCTGGCGGGACATTTCCGCTCAGTGGTGGGGGAGACACTGGTGCTTCAGTACTACGTCCTCCACCACTGCCCCCAGGAGGCAGACGCCCTGCAGTGCGCCCGAGACCTCTCCGCTCTAATCTCGGAGATTGTGGAACGAGCCGAGGAGGAGGAGAAGATCCCGCTCTTCATCTTCGACGAGGCCGAGCACATGCACGGAGAGATCCTGGATGCGCTGCTGCAACTCGTGTCGTCAAAACAATCCAATGAGTATCTGAACGCTATTTACCTGTTCCTGAGCAACCTGGGGCACTCACACATCACCAAACATATGCTGCACAACTCTTCCAGTACTTCTATGGCGAAGTCCGATCATTATAGTCACTTTGTAAAAGAGCTGACTCCGATTTTACGCAACACTCTGGAGAAGCTTCACGTGCTGTGGACAGAGGCGGACATCTTACCTTTGGGCCTTTTGGAGAAAGGTCAAGTGATGGAGTGCTTCCTGGATGAAATGACTCGAGAGGGCTTCTACCCGGATCATACCAACATAGAGCGCCTAGCGGGGGAGATTGAATACTACCCCGAGGTAGGGGGACATGAGTACTCCCAGACAGGATGCAAGCAAGTGGTGGCAAAGGTCAACCTGCTGTGAAATGCTCTGCAGGAAGTCTTGGATGTTTCACATTCTTGAAAGCATGAAGACAATTCGCATGATATGTGGGTGAGGCCTAACCCCCAAAACACACCAGGAGCGTCTGCGCCGCGTTACGTTGCGGCTGCGACCTCCTCCTGCGACAACACACACCAGACGCGTTTCAAAACATTGCGGAAGCGGAGCGTCGTGTGTGCAGCCTCGCAATTGTTGTTGATTTTGGAATATTTCCTGGACATTTGTACTTCTACAAGTAAGTAGGCTATACGTAGTTAAATGGTTTATGTTTGTGTGTTTAAATCGTGTTTATTGTTGTTATTTCCTATTTTGTTGTGTTGTAGACTACAGACACAGTTAATAATAATTGTAATATTCCAGTTATAAACGACATGAATCAAAGATGTGTTGCTGTATTTTAGTGGTAAAAAAATATGCATTCATCATCATCCATTATGAACACCTCGTCGTCCATGGTGCGTTTCGTAGTGGAGGTGTTGTGGGGTCTGCTAAATTAGTATATGTGGGGGATGGGCCTGGCCCGGATGCTCACCTTTCCACTTCCTGCGAGGGGGGGGCTGCCTGCCCGACTTTACCTTACGGCTGCGCCGCGGCAAAAATAGGATTCATCCTAATTTTAGAGAAGCGCTGCGCCGAGCCGCTTCTGGGACGCGTCTGAGCCGTAACACGGCGCGTGTGGTGTAATAGCACCCATTGACTAGAGTGGCTGCGATCCTTACGACCGCCGCGGCGCGGCCGTAACGCGACGCAGACGCTCCTGGTGTGACCCCCAAAACACACCAGGAGCGTCTGCGGCTCAGCGCCCTCGGCGCAGCGCTTCTCTAAAATTAGGATGAATCCTATTTTTGCCGCGGCGCAGCCGTAAGGTAAAGTCGGGCAGGCAGCCCCCCCCCCCCCTCGCAGGAAGTGGAAAGGTGAGCATCAATCAATCAATCAATCAATGTTTATTTATATAGCCCAATATCACAAATGTTACATTTGTCTCAGTGGACTTTACAGTTTGTACAAAATATCAGTATGACAATACGACACCCTCTGTCCTTAGACCCTCACATCGTACAAGGAAAAACTTCCGGAGAAAACCCACAGTTTAAAGGGAAAAATGGGAGAAACCTCAGGGAGAGCAACAGAGGAGGGATCCCTCTCCCAGGACGGACAGACGTGCAATAGATGCCGTGTGTAAATTGAAAAGATAATACATTTGCAACATAGGTAGTCTGGCCTGGCATCCGGGCCAGGCCCATCCCCCACATATACTAATTTAGCAGACCCCACAACACCTCCACTACGAAACGCACCATGGACGACGAGGTGTTCATAATGGAAGTGGAGAAACACACAATTTTATATGATGTAACCAATGCTTTTTACAAGGACAACATCAGAAAGGACAAGGCCTGGTTTTTAGTCGCTGCAGTTTGTGGAGTGGAAGGTAACAACTACATATTAATGTTTTAAAGTTAATTCATACTTGTAGGAATATTACAATTATTATTAACTGTGTCTGTAGTCTACAACACAACAAAATAGGAAATAACAACAATAAACAAGATTTAAACAGACACAAACATAAACCATTTAAATATAGCCTACTTACTTGTAGAAGTACAAATGTCCAGGAAATATTCCAAAATCAACAACAACTGCGAGGCTGCACACACGACGCTCCGCTTCCGCAACGTTTTGAAACGCGTCTGGTGTGTGTTGTCGCAGGAGGAGGTCGCAGCGTGGCGCAGCCGCAACGTAACGCGGCGCAGACGCTCCTGGTGTGTTTTGGGGGTAAGGGTTATGAAACTTGAATCCACAGCTTTCGAGAAAATAGCAGAGTGAGAAAATCGCAAAGGGTGTTGAAGATGGTCCCCTCTGTTGTGGGAAATGTGGCGTGAATCATGTGAAGAGGTTTGAAAACGCCCGGTCACATACAGTAAACAGTCCTCAGAGGGTCAGTTCACCGTGAGAAAAAGCTGGTTTTGACTGAATGAACGTCAGCTCTCACATGTAGTTCGGACATTAATATACCCCTTAGAATTAATCTTTATAACTTTTATGCTCCCTTACTTTTCTTCTAATGCCATCATCAGATACAAAGTTTACACATAATTCTGTGGCCAAATATTTTTGCAAATGTATTGACGTTTCCATCAGAGCAACTCCTACTTGGTGGTCTTACTTCCAATATTCAAAATGATCACCGCAAATGAAGTTTCACTCATTTCCAGTATAATAAAGTTAAGGCAGACATCTAAGAGAAGCATTTTCAAAAACCTGAAACAAACATTTCCCTAGAGGTAATTGAAAATGACTTATTTATTATGTGGGAACTGACCCTTTGCGTATGTCACAACTACATGTTAGGCAGCTCAGACCGACGTTGGACACAAGCAATATGCATTCATGTAATAGTGAAGTTCAGATATTTATAATGCAGTTACTAACACACATTGTCAATAAGAAGTTGCTTTTTTGTCAGAAATGTCTTACGTGATGCAGCATGACTTTTATTAATGCTAGTGCAAGTCTGTAGATAGTCTTATTTAGTCCACATTGTAGATTTACTTATAATGTGAATTTAAGTAACTCATTCTGGCTTAGACCTGCAGAAGAAGAATATCTCCTCTTTGTTTTAGAATACCTGACACATTTATTTATTCAAGATAGTTTTGCATGGGTATGCTACATGTTCACATCTAGAGATATTGACATAGGGTCAACTCAGACTTGCACTAGGATTATGTTTTATTGACCTAATGAAAGTGATCGAGTCAAGAGTATGTTAATATCCTGTATTCAGGTATCTTACAGTCGAAATGTAAACTTAATTGCGTTTAAAATTAAAAAGACACCATTTAAACAGCTGTGAGATTGTTCTTTACAAGCAAAACATGGCTCTTAAATCTTAAATAATGAAAGATTACGAGTTAAAAACAACAGCAAAATAATAGTCTACCCTTATTGATGAAGCAATAATTACAACAACTTTCAGATAGTGTTTTTTCATTATTAGAATTCCTTTAATTGACATTGGAAAAAAATGAGGTACTATGTCTAAGTCACAAAGAAAAGTAAGCCTTATGACAACACAAGATGGAAACAAAAAAACACACATTTTGGTTGCAGAAAAAAGGATAGAAGGAAAGTCATTTAGGACAACCTCTTGAATAATCCTATGCAGTGTTTTGACCGCGGTCCCGCTGAGGACAATCAGCTGTATTTTATGTACAGATCTGAGGAGTGTTTTCGAGGAGAGAGCACTGACAGCAATGGGTGCAGTCCTCGAGCAACATGAGGAAACAGCTGGAAGTGGAGTTAAGACGAGTAGTTACCAGCAGATGCAAAATATCCTCCCTCTTTGTGAACGGCTGAGACAGATAGATGAAAACAATATTGTAGAAATGCAAACTAACTACGTACGCTACTATAAGATTCCACTACATTGATTTCACCTACCAAAAGTCACAAAGGATTTGAAAGATAATTCATGAGCACCTTTCCTTGTTTTAGTTTTTAATATCCTTCATTACCTCTCAATAATATTTCAGTCATATGTTCATGAAATGTGTTTAACATTTATATGGATAATAGTCCACAGACAACACAGCCAAAGGTGCTTCAAATAAAAATAAACAGACACTCAGCACCCTTTTTTTGACCAAGCGAATAAGCTTTCAGCTCTGCATCCACGTTTTTCATTCTTACATGCTTTCAGGAGGGAAGGAAACAACTGAATACAGAAGCTAAACATTAACACCAACAGTTACTCCTCCCAGAGACCTAAAGGGAAATAAATAGTGTCACTTCAATGACCGTAAAACTGTACGCCGTCAGTTTCAGGAACAACAACCTCACAGCTCCTCTCAGGGTGTTTAAGCATGATGCTGAGGCTCCACTATTACTGTCAGATACGGGGGGGGGGGGAGGAAGCGTGAGGGAGAGCCCAGAGAGAAGCTACATGACAGTGGTGGACTGTGAAGGGGGGGGGGGGGGGTGTGTGTAGTGTTGAGGTTCGGGGATTTGTTTCCTTCTCTGTTCTCCCCTCTATGCCTCCAGCTCGAAGCCCATCCCCACTTTGTGTCCGCCGGCGTTGAAGTTCTTCCCGTCGATCAGTGCGGAGAGGGTGACCTTCACACCTGCACACACACAAACGTAAGACTTTAAGATGGTTTTACGAACAATTACGATGCAGTATAATATCTGTTTGCCTACTGGGTTTTACTGTCAAAGTACTCAGATCTTTAACTTTAGTAAAAGTAGCAATACCACACTTTTAAAAGTAAAAGTACAAAAGTATTAGCATCAACATATATTTGAAGTACTGATCTTGCAGAATAGTCCTTTTCATGATAGTTTACTATATTTTATTATTGGATTATTTATATGAATTTATACGTACAGCACTTTTATGCATCAGATAGTGAATGTATTGATTACTTTCATCCTGCTGGGTATCTTAAGAATATATATCAATTACATTTTAACATTAATAAAGCCTTTTAATATCAATGAATAATATCATAATGTATCTGTTGAGAATAATTGTATTGTTTATCAGTATATGGAAAGTCATTTAAGTTAATGAACTATTAATTAGTACCCTCTGAAATGTAGTGGAACATTGTACTTGAATCATTTATTTAAATGTATTTCCATCAAATACAAAGTATGTGTAAAATGAGCTATTCAAAGACATCACCATGGAAAACTAGGATGACATTTGACACTACTTTCTGACCCTTTTTTATAGAGCAAAGAGAATAACTTGTAAAATAGTTTGGAAAGTAATCAAATATATCATGAAATATAGAGACAGCCCTACAAAGCTACAGGGTCAACCCTTCTCTTATCTCAGGAGATGATCTCAGATATTTTAGGTAAATATTGAAGTGTGTTACCTGGCCGAAGGCTCTGGGTGTAGCCCACTCCGATCAGACTGGCATTGTTGACTTTGGCCTGCGGGGTGAAACATGATGAGTCATGAAACAGAACAGCACATTTGTTTGGGATCATTTATCTTTCACAACAGAGCTGTGACCCAGCACTCACAGACAGAGAGGCGTCTTTGTCCAGCTTGTATTTGGCGGCGATGCCGAAGCGAGTGTTGTTGCTGCCGGCGGTCCAGGCCAGAGTGACCGCTGTCTCCAGGTCGTCGTTCACCTTCTGGAAGATGGAGCCGCCGAACTCCGTCCCGTCGTTACTGAGAGACGAGATCCAGAGACGGATAGTGACATTTGTTCAGAGTGTAATCCTGCAGACCTCTAACTCATCTGGAATGTTAGAGTTTGTAATCTTGGCCATCATATGTCATACAGTGGTGCAGAATTTTAAATGAGCACTGATATTGCACTCATCTACTAGAAGGAGCTGGAACATATTTCTACAAACTATTATTCGTTTTTTAAAGAAGTTCTTGATTTCCTTTTTGTGAAGGATCATTTACTTTATTTTCATAGTGATTAAATCCGCTCGTCTTTGGTTGCCTTGACCTTTTTACAATTGTTAGACATCGATTTGTTTTAACCATAAAAAAGGGAGAAAAAATACTAACTATTACTACTTAAAATATATTGTTCACAATTGAGGCAGCATCCAAAATACTTCATCCTACATTTCCTACAACGTAACTTATTATAAGTCTTTCAAAAATGTTTGTCATGAATGCTTTCTGCAAAGGTGTGTCTCCTAAGCTAAAGAACAGATGAGGATGAATTTGAGGTGTAGCCTCCTGGAGTACTCACACGTTGGTGTGCAGCTGGAAGTCTCCGGCCTTGTATCCCAGGGCGAAGTTGTTCTGGGCCAGTTTGGACTTGGCCGTGTCGAAGGCCATCTGGTAGCCGGCCAGCCAGCCCTCGTAGCCGAGCACCGCTGCGGCGTGGATGATGGGACCCTCGAAGTCCACGTCACAGCCCATGTTCACAAACTCACGCTTGTAGGCCGTCTTCAGCTTTCCACTCTTCTTACTGAAACAGGCAATCATAGGGTTAAATGTTTATCTCTAATATCCATTGTATATGTAATACATGTTCTCCATAGACACTGTGGTTTATGATCCCACATACACCATCCTCTCCCCAAATACTGACTAGAGTACCAAATGGGGATTAATACGCCCCTGAAAGTAGTCCCCAACAATTACTATTATGGCCCTGTTTGTTTGATAAAAACTACAAGGAGTAGCTGTTTTTCTTAAATTACTGAGACAGTTTTAATATCAAAAACGATATATTTGCGAGTCGTTTTTTTAATTAGGTTCAAGTTAAACTAATCTTTCAATGTAGGTTTGAAAATGTGTGAAAACAACAGATAATTGTTGACAAAATAAAAGAAACCTTAGTGTATATAATTAGATCTTTTCTCACTGTGCTCTGACTTTACGGTACTACCAGGCCTTATCCAAAGTTTATACTCACTGTATTACATTATGTTTCAACTCAAACCCAAAGGAATGCTATAACTGATTCATCCAAATGTCCACTTACCCTGTGTTTGGTACAAAAGATGTATCCAAGGCGACCTTCAGTCCTTGAGTCAGCTGGAGGTAAAGTAACAAAATAACAGTGTTAGAAATGCAATTTAACGTTTAGCAAAACCAAATCTGAACCCTGATGTTGGCACACACCTGGTCCTCCACGGTGACCTCGGTGGCCAGCGTGTTGTCTGTGTTCCACTTCTGGTTGAAGGTGAGGCCCAGCTCCTTCATCTTGTATTTGGTCTCCAGGCTCCCTGCAGCCTTCCCTGTGTCCGTGTTACTGGAGCCAGATGTGTTGAACTCCTGAAAGGAGGACATTCAGTCTTTAGTATACACAAGTCAATCACACTCGGATAATCAGACAATGTCCAACGCATTAGCAACACATAGAAAGAGACCTTAAAGACAAGCGTGGGGAAAAAAGAGTAAAAGCTGTGTAGACTACAACTGAAACTAAATGTAATTATGATTAAACTGTACAGAAATAAATCATATCAGAGGCATTGTTAACATTAGACAATACACTTGACAGACAGCCTCAACATGAATCCATGCAGGACACCAGTAGCACATGTAATGGACAGAAAAACATGTTGCAGAGTGTATGGTTAGAAAACATAGACAAGGGTGTTAAAAAGTGACCATATTGGCTTATAATGTAGTATTTAACATTTTAAACCTTGTTTCATATGGCTGCTGTTGTCTTTCCTTTCATAATGTAGATGAAGTGTTTGGTTGTGCATGGGTCAGTGTTTCCACGGCTTATCTCATATACTGTGACCCATCAGCCTAATATTTATTGAGCTAATTTATGACTGTATGCTCAAGCAGCTCTTGTGGGTGCGGTGGTTCATGATTTATGAAAAGCTACTTATTGAATGTTATAGCGTTGTTGGCTGTTGACTCTTATCTCCTCTTGAACAGCCGTTACAGGCAGCATAACGACTCTTTCAGTTAGGAAATGTTCCTAAGTAAGTCCATTAGTATTTCTGATCTATTTTCCATCAACACTGATGCATTTGATTGTTGCTCAAAGGAGCAGAGTGGTTGTGCTCAGTGAGTGTGTCGTTGGAAACAGAGCGTTTAGGGCAGAAAGGTGGTAGCAATCGGAGGGTAGCAGTGATGTCGTGTGGTGGCATTAAGAGCCATTCAACCAGCTGAATCTTTTTGTAACAATCTGACAGAACTCTGGAGGGAAAAAGGAGGAGGTGTGTGTTTCATGGTAACGGATGTATCGATTAAAAGGAGCTGACCGGATTGCATTTCACTAGAGTTGTACCTTTTACAATTGAATGAGTTGTATAAATTGCCTGATTGATTAGTATAGTACATAATGTATGAGGAAAGCAGCTTCCATGGAGCATGGATTGTGAATTGAAACTTTTCAAACGA